ATATGCCGATATGGAAACAGATTGTTCTAGATACGATGGAGACGATTTGTATGCAGCTCAGGTGAGGATGATTTTGATGTAGTTGTGTGTTCTCTGAGCTATCTGGATGATTTATTTGCGAAGCTTTCGCTATTGCCCTACTAGGCAACATCTTCAGCGCATACACTTCAATTTGTTGAAGGGAGATTTTTGATTTCTCCATGAAGAAAATTTTCTTTATCGACGAAATCATCTTCACAGGCTGCCGTACAGTCGTATTTATATTTACCAAAAATGTTTAGTAATCTATTATTGACTAATACGAGATGACATAATTGATATAATTACTCAGAAGTGGCTTTAGAAGTGAAAAGTTAAAAGTAATAAATTACGTGATAATCAATGGCACAAAGTTAGAAATGTGATAAGGTTAAAATTGCTCTTGAGTAGTGAGAAGAAAGGTGGTAGTTGAGTGTCAATTTAACAAGGTGAGACCAAATGCTACAGAGGGTGTCAGGTTTTGGCTTTTTTTTGTATGGCGGACGCGCTGGCAATTCGTCAATACAACCCCGAACTCTGTATACAGAAAGGAGTTGCTCAGTCTCTTATTCTAACTTGGTCTTAAACTTTTCACTAGTCGTTCCCTGTAAAATATTTTCGATTTTTTCTTTTGTTCTTAATTTTTAATTTTAGTTTGCTTTTGCTTTAATAATTAATTCACTATTATCAATTTCATATGCTCCTTTTGTATATTTTCACACCCTCTTCACACTTGTTAAATGGACACTCAACTACCACCTTTATTCTCACTATGCAATAGCAATTTTAACCTCATCAAATTTCTAACTTTGTGCCATCGTTGAGTACCACGTAATTTACAACTTTTATATTTTTATTTTTACTTCTAAAGCCATTTCTGAGTAATTTTATCAATTATGTCACCCCCTCCATCTATTATTCAATAATAGACCACTTTATATTTTTTGGTAAGTAAAAATACGACTGTACGGTAGCCTGTGAAGATGATTTCATCGATAAAGAAAATTTTCTTCGTTGGATTTGTCTTTCATTTTCTTCATGTCCCACTATTTAGTCTCTGGTTTGATCACGGATTGATATATTGGTTTGTGGTCGCATTGAAATCACCAATTAGTGTAAATTGGAATTCACGGACCATTCATCAAATCAGGTCTAAGTGGCTGAATGGTGTAGGAGCTGCTTACCTTGTGTTACCGCAAAGTCCTGGCCTCCAACCGCGGTGTGTGTGTGTCCGTACTGTCTGGAGATTCTAAAATATGTACGAAACAGCTGTCTATTACTCCATGCCGTGGTTTCCACTGATTCTCTAACTGATATCAATACTTGATCAAACCTTAAGAGAATCTGATTTTATAAACAGTCTTTCGATCATTAGGTCAACTTTTCAACGATTTATGGTTTCGATTTCATTGGAAACAACATATAACAATATTAAGTAGGCTTATAAGTTGCAGACCATTTTGCCACAGGGGACAAATGCAATGGCAATTCGCGACCGACAGTCAATGTTATTGGTGGATATTTCTCCTCATACACAACGTGGTGAATCCCGCTGGTCATGACTTCTTATCACATTCTAGTGGACTGAATAGTCGATGGTCTCCTTTCACAACCTCAATGTTCGACTCTGGTCGAGTCACTTATGCGCATTGCTGAAAATCCTCAAACTAGTGGGGCGAAACAGCTGTCCCATACCCCGTATTGACTTTCAATGGTTCTCTGACTGAAGTAATTTCGTGATCAACCTTGAAATCATTCAAATCCCTGTAAACCAACACTTGAAAACCATAAATATGTGTTTGTTAGTTACTGATGCGTCTGAGTACCAGGCTTTTAAGAAATGTCGTGTTTCCAGTGTTTAAAATCTCTATGTCTCCCCAATCCATTTGGTATACATAATTGTTTGCATGCGTTGTTTTGAAAGAATTCTTGTCGTGTCTTTTGCCAATTATATTATGTTCCTGAACTCTAGCGCTAGCCGGTTGATCGCTGACGAAATCTCAGCACGGATACGGAGAGCTAGTTTCGCATATGCCAGTTTACGCCGTCTCTGGTGTAGACGTGATATCCAGTTGGCTGGCTGACTGTCGACCAAAGGACGTGTGTACTAATCAGCAGTTTGCTCTGTCTTCCCTTATGGTTGGCTGTGAGACCTGGCCATTGAGAGTGGAAGACATGAAAAGCTTGCCTATCTATCTTTCATCATAGGTGTCTACCATATATCTCCCGTGTGAAGTTGTATAATAGGGTGAACAATATTGAGGTGAACCATCAGTCGAGTGCTAGGTAAGTGGGAGGGGAAATCAATCGACGAGCTTGTGAAGCAACTGCATCGATTCAGATGGTTAGAACGTGTATTACGCATCCACACCCAGCCATCGTGTTCCTCATCAAGCAATGTTAACTGGCTTAAGGTCAGGCTGGAAAAGAGCTAGCGGCAGTCAAACCAAAACCTTGGCTCCATCAATCAATGAAATCCACAACAGTCAGTTTAAGCTGGCCACGTAGGAAGGTGTAGACTGCCTGACTTACAGGTTAGGGTCCTCGGGACGGTAAAACCAATGTGGGCTGGAGACAATTAGTGGTGATATGGCTAGCTGAAAATCCTTGTTGTCAATAGCTAGTGCAGATGCATCCTCTCCTTGTGGCTTCTGATTCCCAATGAAATTATATTGTTTTTCGTTATTATTATTATTCCGTTTGTCTCATATCCCTGTCTACTATCTCTATTATGCTTTTCTTCTACTTCCTTCTCTTTGTTTGTGTGCTACATGGAGTGGAGTGTGGTGACTTGAACTGCTGCACACATCTTTGCAAACTTCTATGTTGAAAACACCGACAGGCAGACACAGATGGTTGAAGGAGACGCCCATTTTGAGCAATATTGTGTTTATCACAGTTTATAGAATTGATTTTGTACATAGTACATTAATCTTGTCCTCTTTTGTTGTTAAATCGTTCCATCTGCATTATAGTGAATGAATTGATTACCGTTGGTTTGTGTGTGATATCTATTCCAAATGGTTTCCCCTTTGGGTTCCACTTTAGAGTGTACCTGGCGCGTGAGGTCACTCAGTATGTGTATCCTATGCATCCCCACTTTCTTCTGCATATTTATCGGGCAAATAGGACGTCAGAGTTCATTTGTTGCTAATTCTTTCTTCTCGGTCATCTAATATTCAGTATGGATCCAACCAGGTGGCAAAGGCAGTTGTTGATGGAAGTCTGGAGTGTAGTCTGTACTTACTTACTTTTACTTTACTTCGGCTATCTCCTACGGGAGGATGAGCCGGCTTCATGAACGTCTCGAATCATCGCTGCCCAGGCGCGGCGATCTGAAGCAAGGTTTTGTGATAGGGATATCCAATTCTTGTTCCACATACGGAGTCCGTAGACCGTTTGTAGCCCCAGGCACTCCATATCTGCCTTGACTGTACCAAGCCATGTCTTCAGCTGTCCGCCTCTGCGACATCGCCAAGATGGTAATGGCGAGGGATTTAGAACTGATTTGACCAGATCGTCATTTGGTCGGCGCAGAACATGGCCAAACCACCGAAGGCGGCGTTGTTGGACCAGTACTGGAATTTGGTTGATGTTGTAGCAACGCCGACGCACTTCTTCGTTGGAGAGTTTGTCCTGCCAACGAACATGCAGAATGTACCTGAGACACCAATGGTCTAATACCTCGAGTCTGCGTAAATCTTCCGCGCGAAGAGGCCAGGTTTCACAGCCATACAGCAGAACGGGTCGTATGGAAGCTTGGTAGATCCGAATTTTAGTCCTGAGACTGATTTCTCTCTTGCTCCATAGAACGCTCCTCAGCTGTAGAAACGCATTCCGGGCGTTGGAGATTCGCGCATTCACTTCGTTTTTCGCTTGGCCGTTGGGGAGCATTATGGATCCCAGATATCTGAAGGATGGCACAATTTCAATAGGTGCTCCATTTAAGGATAAGATTTCATCATTGCCGGCGGATGTGTTCGAAAACATTTTAGTCTGTAGGGAATGCGCAGTACAATTTTCTGAACCATATAGAAGAATTGACTGACTTAACCTTACTGTTGAAGAGAATCCGAATTTTGCTCTTTAGGCTGAGGCGAAGTGGAGAAGATTCTCAAACTGATTTCAGAGTGACGAAGGTTTGTCTTGCCGTTCCGATCCTGGCTTGTTTTGACATCCGTGCCGTCTGTCTATAGTTGAAATCTTTCTGCCTAAATGAGTAAAGAAAGTGACCTCTTTCGAATTTCTCCCGTTGACAGTGGTTGGTACGTGTTGTTGTTGTTGGTTGGTTACATTCATCACCTGGTGGTTGGAATGCCAACCACTTTCCTTATTCCTGCCTTGTTAAGAATTCTGCGTGACGTTTCCGAGGTTTCCAAGAATAATGAATCTAAATCATCAGTAGTAATTCCATACAAGTAAAGGACTACGGAAACCATTGCCCTCCTCGACGGGACAGTGTTAACTGCCATAGGATTTGGTTGAAAAAGAACTGGCGGTGGTAAACGAAAACATGGAAGCAGTTCATGAAATTTTTAACATTGGTGTCTGTATTAGATGTTTGGAGACAATCAGCCACAGGAAGCCTTGCTTGACCTAGGTTTTGTGCTAGTTGGCACTCACCAGTCAGTCAGCAAGGCGTATCTGCAATCACCTTGAAGGAACTCATCTCATTGCCTCTGAGATTCGAACCCGCCTTTAGTTGCAACAATTCTGCCTAGATAGATGAGTGATAGATAAAAGGAATTCCTTCAAATTTCTCCCTTTGTTATGGACTGGTTCTTTTTGTTGATGATGGTGGGCTGGTGAGTGTCTTCATCACCTCTGTGTCTTCTCTATGTTCACTTGTGCCAAACACACACTCATATATCTTGAATTCCACTGTTCTAACAATTGGCAAATAAAGTAACTCTAATCAATACAAAACGACCTTACACTTGTTTGTTATTCATGATTTTATTTCCATGTCAACTCTTTTCTAGATGACACGAATAATTCATGCCTATGTGAATGATGCTGACCAGTATATTAATAAAGGAAATATTTCACAATCAGGTCCAACTAATAACAGCAACAACAACAATACCAATAATAACGAAGTATTGTCAAGTATTTTATCAAAAAATACATCTCCGTCTGGATGCTCTGAGAGTAAATCGTCATCACCACCTATAAATGGTTTATCCACGAATGAAAATACTAATAATATTCATTTAAGTTTAGAACAAAAACGTCAGTTAGCTGCTAAACAAGAACAAATTGAACATTTATCCAAGTGTATCACACCATTACAGCAACAACAGCAATCTTCTATTGGACCAATGAAATTGACAACCACAAATAATAAACCAAAACCAATTGATATTACAAGTTCTTTAATCACTTATAATCTGAATGCTTTAAATACTAATAATAATACACAGAATAAAGGATCGAATCGTTTAGGTACTGGAGTCCCATTATCTTTAATTACACCACCTCAACCTCAACAGCAACCGCAGCAACAACAACTACAATTGACTTACGGACAAAATGGTGTTTTTAACGCTGCTCCGTATTCAAACAATTTTGTTCAAGGACAAAGCACAATGCCGTCTACAGTGTCACCGAATGCAATCGTTCCATTATCCTTCAATCAGAATAATAATAGTAATAATTATGCACCATTTACCCCAATGACATCTCCACCAATAAAATCTGTCCAACAATATAATAATAATAACAATAATTCATTCTATCCTATGTCGACCAATCAGATGGCAATGCCCTTGACGCCATCTTCACAATTATTATCCAATCAAAATTCAATAAGCAGTTATAATCAAACCGCTATTAAACCGTTATCCAAAGGGGATATAGATGATTTGTTAAGTTAATAAAAAATAGAATTAAACATTATAATTATATCATTAATAATAATAAAAATAATATTAATTACTTTTATTTATTTATTTAATTTTTTTTCTCCCATATCATTTTCTGTCATTTTTTTTGTTGTTATTATTATATCTTGACCATTGTACATATTGAATACTCGTCTCCTCTCCTCTGGGTTTTGCTAGACCAAAATATTGAAATCGATATTATTAACAAAGCTGTGACTGACTCGTTTGTCATGTAATTTTTGTGATATATATATACATGCATACGATAACAATTATCATGTTTTTTGCATATTTTCTAATGGCGGTACACTCACTCCACCCAACCCCACTACATTCCTTCCTTTTTTTTGGTTTTGTTTTGTCTTGTCTGTGATGATGATGACGATTACGTCCTTATTTTTTGGCTCCTTTATTTTGAAAATTTTTGTATTTGTCTTTCATATTTAACCTTCATCTTTTGTGTGTGTGTGTTTTGGATTCTTTCGTGCATTTCACGCTTGTTTATTTCTTAGCAATTGAGTAAAGTAATTACGCAATTCAAAATTAAAATTTTCTAGTTTCTTCTTCTTTTGGTTCTCTTGTTATTCTTATGAATATACTTTTGTTCAATGGGATTTTTTTTTCTTTATGCTGACGTAAATATATTTTATTGAGATGTGTTCAGCCAAGGAGGGGGGGGTGGTTACTCCTTTTTCGACGATATTATTCTCAAACTGTGTACAATTACACATTTTTATCGTGACAAGAAAGGGATTCAATTAGTGGATAGTGACTAGCAGCGGAATCCAGTTAACATGCGCATTTCGTCCTATTTGAGACTTGGCAGCTGGGTGTACCTGCACTTTCTAGTGAATGAATGATGATGTTCCCACCGAGGCTCAAAACCAGTGTCCACAGTTTCAAGCTCCAAAGCGTTATCCACTAGACCACTTGGGCCACGAGACTCATCTCTTGTGTAAAGGGTCACATATTAATTATTTGATTCAATTTTAAATTTTCCCGTCGATTGATTGAACCCTGAAGTTCTTGGTTTCAGATTTACATATATGTCGGCTCCTTGTTCAGATGCTTCAACGATGTCTGGTCTAAATTGAACTTTTTATATGTTATTGGAATTTTAAGCTTTAGCCAACGATCAAGCGGGGAGTTGGTCGTCAGTGCGAGGGTGGGGTGACATGGAAGAGGTCATGTGGAGAGGGCAGACGTGGAGCCAGGTGGAAACGTTGACAGAGAACCGAACGCAATGGAGACGTGCGGAACTAAAAGAAACAATAATAATATAATGATATCATTCTAGTTCACAGGTTCCCATCAGCTACAAACTTCCTGGAACTAAAATAGTTACATATCATTTGTTATATCTTTTAATTCCTGAAGGAACATAGGGCTTCAGCTGCGCATCTCCATTGCCTTCGGTTTTCTGCCAACTTTTTCACCCCGCTCCAAGTCTGCCCGCATGCTTTCATCTCCTCTTCACATGACCTCCTCCAAGTCACCCTTGCACTGACGACCAACTCGCCGCTTCCCTTTCGGGTTCCACTCGAGTAATGGCTTGTCTAGTGATGTCACTTGATGGTTTCCTCAGCGTATGGCCAATGGAGATGTATTATCTCCATTTCTTCTTGCTTATTTTCTGTACTATCGGTTCCAGGTTGGTTCGCTCCCAGAGGTCCCTGTTGGTGATCTTTTCTGGCCGGCCATCTGATCTTGAGTATTGAATGAAAACAGGTGTTGATGAAGGTCTGTAGTTTGTTTGAGATGCTCTTTATGACGCGCTGGCCAAGTCTCTGATCCGTATAGTAGCACTGACTGACTTCACAGTGGAGTTGAAAATCCGGATCTTATTTTTCATACTGAGTGTTGACCTCCACACAGACTTAAGAGTAATGAAAGCTTGTCTTGCTTTTTCTGATTCTGGCTTTGATATCCTCGTCAGTTCCACCGGTAGTTGAAACGATGCTTCCCAGATAGGTAGATAGGTAAAGGAAGTTGTTTCTTTCAGGTCCCTCCCATTTATGCTGATTACTGTCCGTTGTTGTTGGTGGTGTTGGGCAGGAATCTTCATCACCTACCTCTGTTTTATCTACGTTCACCTGAAGTCCTATCTTCTCTGGATTCTTCTTTTGCCAGCTTGTTGCTTTTCACTTGCATATCTTCCAGTTTGTGGGAAATCAGACATATATCATCAGCGAAGTCCAGATCCTCCAAGTTTTTTGTGTGGGTTCATTTTATGCCTGTTTCCTCATTGCCCGTTGTCTGTCGCATTATCCAATCTACTGCAATCAGGAAAATCATTGGTGATAGTAGGCAGCCTTGTCTCACTCCCGTCCTCACTTCGAAGGCTTCCGTAAGTTTCCCGTTGTGGATTACTTGACATGCAGCATTATCGTACAACTGTTGGATGAGATGTATAATTGTCGATTTCACCCCGTAGTAGCGAAGTAGTTTCCAAATCACCTCTCGATCGACGCTGTCGAAGGCCTTTTCAAAATCGATGAAGTTGAGATAGAGAGGTGACTGCCATAAGAATGAAAATAACATACTTCAAAGTTTGAATGGTAGTAGAGGAAATACAAAACTATAAGAAGTTAACGTATCTGAAATGTAAGCATCACAATTTTTTAGTTTAAATTACTATCAACGTGTATGTCTTGAAATTTGTTCAGTGAGCTGAAATCACGATCAAAATGCGGTTATCAAGGCAGTAGAAGATTTCTTCTCACTCTCCCTTTCTGTATGCATAAGTGTGGTTTGAACAGGTGTGATTTCATTGGCTCCAGCAAATCCTAGTAAATTTACTGTCCTTTTTATATTTAGCTTTCTGAATGATTAGAAAATCTCAATGAAATACCTCGCATCCTCAAGATGTCTGGTAATTATACTTTGTGAATATCTACTTCTATTCAGGCATAAATTTCTTGGTATATGTTCTCTCCTTCCAATTTACCTGCTCAATTAGAGGTGACATTAGTAGAATGGTATTTATCCAGTTTAGATTGACTTATTGTGCATGTAGTGGTGTAGGGAAGCATCAGGATATATGCTAGTAGAAATTACGTAATACAAAGATACTGAACATGCAGAGACTAAAGCAAGATTAAGTAAGTTAATTGACTAACGTAACACTATTGATAGAATTGAGTAATGTTCAACCAAAAATTGTGAGAAAATCAATATTACAACAAGAAGAAGTTCAATAGTGAGAATTTGGAATTCTAAAAAAGATGTTTAGACAAATCAGGTTTATTGTAAATTCTGTCACTGAACAGTCATGGCGTCTGTGATTTCAAGAAGTTCGATTTATACACCATAGCCTGAAGAAGATCTAATTGAAAACAATATTGTTCGCTTATATGTCTTGTTCTAATATTATACACCATTGGCAAGTTTTTCGTGTATTCTGTAGATGACTCTGAAGTTGCTTTGCAAGTTCTCTTGGTGTTCCGAAAGAGATCTACAGAAGAGGCTATTTTCTCCTCTGTAAAATCATGGCAGTAAATGTTTGACCATACGTTTTGATAGCGAACTCAAAATTTTAATGACACATCTTCAGGAATATTCCTTTTTTCTGTGAAAATGTGATAGAGAAAGAAAGACCAGATTTGAAGTATAAAATGATATCATCATTCTATTTCACAGTCTCTCATCAGCTGCGCACCACTACCTGAAATTAAAATGATTTTAAATAATAACATTTTATACTTCAATGTTTGAGAGGTGACAGAGAAAACATTATAAGAAAAACGCATCCGGAATGTAAGTATTACGATTTTTAGGATACAATTGGTGGATGGTGACTAGCAGTGGAATCCAGGATGCGCATTTCGTCCTATTTGGGACTCGTCAGCTGGATGTACCTGCATTTCTCAGTGAGTGATGATGTTCCCACCGAGGCTCGAACCCAGTACCCATAGTTTCGAACACCTAAGCGTTATCCACTAGACCACTTGGGCCCAGACATCGTCGAAGCATCTGCACAAGAAGCCGACATGTCAACCTGAGACCTAGCACTTCGGTCCAATCAATCGACGGGAAAATCAAAAAATCCAATTCAATAATTACGATTTTTAGTTTAAGTTTCCATCGATTTATATACTATCAAACTATGAAAAAAGGTAAGTGGGGGTGAGAGAAGACAGAAAACAGAAAAATCTAATAAACAGTGTAGGCTTGTACGTCAACATGGGAACTCAAGAAGGTTAAAGTTCATCAAATTGAAAACACTTGCTTAATGATCTGAGCTCACTAGTGTGGATGACTAATCAGTGTAATGGAAGTAATACGGTTGAGTACAAAGGGAATGGGAGATTGACTACACTCTCTTTGTCTGTATGCATAAGTTTGGTCTCTGACGTTTGATTGTAATTGCTTCAGCAGTAAATCGTAGTAGATTCGCTATCCTTTGTATGTTTAACATATTTTGGAGGATTTGGAAATCTCGACAAAATGACCCGTATCCATATAGTGGGTGTCTGGTGATTGTACTTTGTAAATATCTGCTTCCTTTTAAGCATAAGTTTCTTGGAATGTGCTCTGGAAACCGGATAGAAGTCCTGTCTTCTTTCTGTCCTTCCAAAGTACTTGCTGCCAAGGGTGCACGTAAATTCCTCAATCAAAATTTATCAAAGGAACCAAATGTAATTTATTATTACTCCTTTAGGTTCCGATTGGAACATGGAGCTTCAGAAGCACATCTCTTCTGAAGCTTCTTTTTAACTGGATCTACGATTACCCGTAAGCTTTCATTCCCCTCCCCACCCACATGATCTCTTCCATGTCACTTTCGCACGCTCAACTCATTGTTTCTGACTTGGCTTCCATTCAATAATCTCTTCAATGTTATGCCCAATCCATCTCCATTTCTTTCTGTTCATTTGTGTATTTATCAATTTACTTGCTCGTGTGGAGCAAAGTATATCGGTCGTACGCAACGTCAGGTCCACAAAAGTTTTCTAGAACACTGTCCAGTTCGGTTAGCCAGCCCAGAGGAG